AAAAAAAACTTCTATATAAATAAAGTTATTAACATAGCTAATATATTATACATTACATTTACGTATATACGTTCGTATGATTTTATTTTCGTCACCATACGCAACATACAATTTTTTATTTTTGTTACCATACTCAACTACTTTTGTATTCCTGACTATACTCCTTTAAGTAATACCTATGGTATAGTATCTCTAGATCAAGATTTATACTTATATGGTATAAGCTAACAAGTTATTCAGAAAAAAGAACCAGCTCAATATTATACAAGAGAGGAGATAAAATGCCACCTTTATTAATATTAAGTTTGAGATTTATTGATTTTAGTATCCTTCAATGAATGCTAATATGCCTTTATACAACGCTCTTAAAAAGAAGATTGATGCTCTTGATAATTTTTTTTATAAAATGTGAATGATTCTTCACTAGACAACCTTAAAAAATCAAAAAGTCTGATACAATTGTTGAACAAAATAAAAAACTATTCAATGAAGATTATAAAAAAATCTCTATAGAAGACCTAGAGGATGTTCTATAAGAATTTCAAATTTGATTAAAAGCCACTTAGACAAAGTAAAATAAAAAGATTCCTTAGATCTTACATAGAAAGATCCAGAAGCAAATATGTTTCTTAGTGATAAATCAAAGTTAGTAGAAAGTTTGAAAAAATGGCAGAAAAATTCATTTATTGTATGAACAACTTTTATTTAATATAAAATTTTAACTGTTGACCAAATTAAAGATCTTTTTTAAATTGTACTTGTAATTCACCATTATGTATAAATTAATAGAATTCATGGGAGAATTAATTCTATCTAAATGTGATAAATTTGTAGAAAATTTCAATAGAACAATTATTTCAGGAGATTCTAACAATGTTTTTCATAATAAAGTATGAAAAAAATCAAAAAGATCTGGATCAAATTCTGGAAGTTCTGTATATAATTTTACTGAAAATTTATTTGAATAAATATTTTTATTTATCCGGCAAACTCATATGATTATGAAAAAATTTCTTTTTGTTATTTTTTTCATGTATTACTATGTAATTATGTTTATTCTAATATTCAAAATTAAAACCCAGCGAGCGACTCCCTACCAATCATGATCATAAATTGCCGGATAACACCAATATTGGGCAAATTGTCGAATACGGTAATTTGGCAAATGATTGGCTACACGTGCCGCTTTGCGGCACGTGCTTATTTGCCAAATTACCATTATTCGACAATTTTTGTATACATATTAGAATTTATAATTTTTCTATACCTAAACAACTTTCAAGATATAGTGCAATCTAGTATTCATGACAAGTATGTTTCGTGATGAACAGAGTAAGGGAACTTATATTGCAGATGTTGTGATGCCATTACTTTGGGCAACTCTAGAGGATTTTCTAAATAGTAATCTCTGCTTAAGCGCTTAAGTATTTGATAAATAATGTTCATGAAAAGTGTGTTTTATACTATTATATTTAGAAATCCCAGAATTGGGAAGAAGCCAGATGTTATGGTATGGTAAAACATAGAAAGAAGGTCGATGGGCATATATGTTGAATGCTCCTGTGTTGTCTGCACTAATACAAAAAAAGAGATGATGATACAGTAAAGTTATAGAGAGAAACATTAAACAGAATAAGTTATATTGGTATATCATGCAGACTGGCTAACAAACAATTTGGAATTATAGGAATCCAAGTTGCTGGAGAGGTTGTATACTTAAATGTTTTTATGTTGGATGGTGCCGGAATACCTCAGTATTTTCAGCTTGATTGAGCAGAGATACTACTGACAATAGATATACCATGGCGCATGAAACCTTTTATACAATTATTATTAACTTTGAAATATATTATGCAATTCTGCTTTCACCGTTATGCTTAGTTGATAAACTATCTATGTATTATATATGGTTACAGAATATTCTGATAGTAAATAAAAGTTTGCTAAAGCGAGCACTTGAATAAGCAGATACCAATACACCTCAAAATATTCGACTGAGCCCTGTAATATCCTCTTCACATAGAGAACAGAAAAAGACAAGAACCAGAAAGATAGGCAATATAAATTCTTCTTTATGTAAAGGTGGAAGGTTAACAAAGAAGAATAGTAGAGAATTTCAGAGTGTATCTACATGAATTTTTAGAGGAATTTATATATAAGAGCCCGAAATATGAAAGTAATTACAAATAAGGACCAAAGTGACTACATGTAGAGCCAAAACTTTGAAAAATATTACAATCAAGGGTCAGATTTCAAATTTTTGCATATAAAGTTATATAAATGCAATTGTCTTTTGACATTTAAATGTATTACTTTTTAATCAGTATTGCATTTATTCTCTTAGCGCCTTTCATAACCACTTTTTCCGATTTTTAAAAGTAATTTAACTTTCTCTACGAATAAAAACGAGTTTAGAACCGAATAAACATTACAATAACAATGTATAGGTTTATATAACGTAATTAACCTAGTCGAATTGTTTCTTGGTTAAAAGAAAATTCATTAAGCGAAAGGTAAAGTATAAAATATCATAAATACAGTTATAGCGTTCGAAGACCCACCATCATAGTTATTTTGGCCCTTAATTGTAAAAAATTTCAAAATTTGGGACCTTATTTGTAATTATTTTCACTTTGGGCCCCTTATTTGTAATTATTTTCATTTTTCGGGCCCTTATATGTAAATTCCCCTATTTTGTAATAATTAATGTGGCAGATTAAAATGAAATCGGATTAAAATGAAATTTTTCTATTTTTTTAGGAAAATTTAAAATTTTTTGGGGGACATTTTTTAGGGTTAGGGTTAGTATTAGGGTTAGGGTTTAGAGTTAGTTTTATTAATAAAAGAGTATAAGTGGGTTTTATAAGCTTTAAATATGAGCAAGAAAGGTCCCCAGTTTCATTTTAATCCGATTTCATTATGATCTGCGACAATTAATATAAACAAATTCGCCAAAACAAGAATATAATAAAGCTAGTTTCGTAAATTTGATGATGAATTTGTACCATCTGTTCTTCGTCAAAAACGAGTATCAAAAGGATACTATTTATGAGTGAAAAAAATATACACCCAGAATAATGCGATTCTTAAATTATTATTATTATTATTTTTATGATCGCCTGTAATTTGTGAATTCTTTAGGGTACAGTCAAGCTTAAGTTATGTCGAATCGTGAGATCAACAATGCGTTCTATGAGAATTAAGCTAGTGATTGTTATGCAATGTGACAACCTTATTCTGGTACTTTAAGTCACGTTGGTTAGGGGTATAATGTAAATTTAGAAAAGATCAATAAATTATTTCGCTTTCGCTATGGTCTTTGACGATCATTGATTATCAATCAATCAGACCAGCAAAAATTCGAAAGAAAAATAAAAATATTGACAATCTGATATATAAATATAGGTAATTTATTCGTACCAACTTCTAGTTCTGGCTGAGTATTAGTCTAATGGCAATAGCAATACATCATATACGTATCTATATTGCATCTAATCATTCACACAAGAATGTCGAAAGTAAAAATTTTCTTCTTGGGTTTTACGAGGAAATTTTTTGTAAAACTCTGTAAAATAGCACATAGCATAAAATCAAATACGGTAGTTATGCCAAGCATTAAATTCGAATGACTGTAATCCGGTCAGAATTTTTGGATATTATATTTGAAAGATTATTTGGCTGATTCAATAAGTTTTTGATTCGGTAGTGGTTAGTAATATAGAGATAATAAATATATTTTGCGATTATATTCTGAACGATGCTACAAATCCAAAATTATTTCGCTTGAATGCATGTCCAGAATGTTTGGCGTGTTTAGTCTACGAAAATTTATGACGAAGTTAGTTCTTGCTAACCAACAAAACTTAAAACCATTCTGAATATAAACTTTCATAATAAACGTATGACACGAAGAGGCACTAATAAAAAAAAAAAGTTCATATGAACAAGAATTTATTGACTGGATTAAAGAAATATAACCAATTATATCCACTAGCATCAATGCCTACCAGTTGTAATTCCCATTCGTCTGATGAAGTTTTAGTACTATTAACCTGTTTGAACTGGACTTCTACCTTTAGTACATGCCTGATTCCAAATTTGCTTGTTTTCCGAAAAATTTTATACTGTATGTTCAATATGCCAATTTTCTCCTTCGGAAACAAAGTGTCTCAGTGTCTCGACAAATAAACCTAGTTATATAATTGGGCTCATTTATAATCGGACTAATTCCAACTTTAAGAGACTCAAGGAAATAATCGTAACCTTCATTTGCAAATGGAGTCCAACTATTGCTAAGCATACGATCTGTAGTACATCAACATTAACATCAAATTTTGGGTATTCTTCATGAACTTTGTCAAATTTTGCGTGAAACCTAATCATGATAGCAAGTCGTGGAAAGAAAATCTTGATCTTTAGCTCTGGCCGCTGCCACAGAGGAGACTGAAATAAGTTTATTACTGGAGTTACTACTGCTATCTTTGTCATTATTGTCATCTCTATTGCCACTCCCACCATCACCCCTTCTACCATCACTATAATTGTCATTGCCGCTTCTGTCATCACTTTGGCCACTGTGAGGATTACCTCCGTCATTATAATTCCTTATAAATTCACTTGTAGTATCATAGCCTTTCGACATGTCATTTCCATCCCTTGGTTCAATCACTTGGCTTCTTATAATCAAATGGACAAGGTGCTACAAAAATTTTTTTACATAAATCAATTTATAATAAGATTAGGATTACTTTTACTTAAAATACAAAAGTAGTTACATTAATAAAATTTTGCAGTATATAGCACTTTGAAGTTTGTATTTTCTTATAAGATCAACATAAAAAATGATTTCTGAAGATTTTTTTTTTTGTTGGTTCCTCCCTTTTTTGCAGCACGATGTACAAGTTGTTCTAAAACTGATGGTTTAAACTGACTTGTCATCCAACAGGTAATAAAGAAAAAGAATAGCTTTGTAAAAGCTGGTTTCTACAGCATACACAGATTTCGATTCAAATATCCTTCTTGTCAACAAGTAGATTATATGGGCTGCCGTCAATAGAAATAAGGCAAATTGACATTTTAAAAAAAATTAATACCTTAACTTTCACAGCTCATATTTCGATGAATT